GTAAAACGACAAACATCATCTATTTGTTTGCTAAGTTACACATTTTGACCATAAGTTTGCCTTTTAGATCAAATCAGTTTATCAAATAAGGGTTTATAAACTCCTCCCACACTCTTATAATGTTCTAAACTCTTAAACCTATGTTATTTTAACAGTATACATATAGTACTGGATATGTAGCTACTAAAGATTACTTACCAGCTCTGCAGAACAGCTGTAGCTCTCGGTTCCGGTCTGTAGTGAACTAGGCCTGAGGTCAAATCCTGACCTTAAGGACCTTATGGGACAGAAACTGTCATTTCATTGATTTGAATCCAGAAATACAGGTTGACCCATCCTGAGACTTTCTTTCTTAAATTAATCAAGTGAGACTACTTTCGATTATCATTACTATTTTACAAATGTTTGATAATCAAATTGTGTTAGTTCAAACAATGTTTAAATGTTGAAGTGAACTACTCATTTTTAAATCAACTGTGAAACAGTAATAACGATTTTTAATCCTCATTCAAAGTGGAAATCAAGTTGGAATATGTTACAGAGTAATGATTCAATTTCTTGATCGTCTGTTTGAAATGAGCAAGTTGTGTAAGTTGGTCAAAGTTCAAGTTTTGGTCAACTGCAAGTTTACTGAAAAAGAAATGTCATGTTTAACTTTTACAGCAAGATACTAGAGAATTGACTCCACGAAGTCTGAGTTCTTCATAATATCTTCTGTCTGTTCTTAAACAATCTTAATCTTTTTCCTTGAATTTTTAATAACACCTTACATCACAAAACACGCCTCTGTTTTGGTCAATCGACCAATCAGAAAGTTCTCAAATGAACCGGAAGTGCGCCCTTTTAAAAGGTGCAACACTTCCTAGTTCACTGTAGATGAAGAAGTTCTGCAGGAGCTCGAGCAGTTCTGCAGTTCTGAAACTCGGCAGTTCCAGAGTCCAGAATGCTGGAATGCAGCATGCTCAGGACATCTGCAACTAAGCTGGACGAGAGAAGTTCAGAGGAATTATGAAGTCTGTTATAACCAGAAACAGCACGCTCCTTCTAGACCAGCTTGACCCAACGGTACGCTTTGGTTGAGATCGACTCTTTTACCTTTGCAGATGATAGTTTCAGCGTTGGTGTAGAGCTCTCCTTTCAACTCTTTCAGCGTCTCCGTAAGAACAGCTAAACCTCGGGAGTCGTGAGATCATCCAGAACAGACTTCATAATTCCTCTGAACTTCTCTCGTCCAGCTTAGTTGCAGATGTCCTGAGCATGCTGCATTCCAGCATTCTGGACTCTGGAACTGCCGAGTTTCAGAACTGCAGAACTGCTCGAGCTCCTGCAGAACTTCTTCATCTACAGTGAACTAGGAAGTGTTGCACCTTTTAAAAGGGCGCACTTCCGGTTCATTTGAGAACTTTCTGATTGGTCGATTGACCAAAACAGAGGCGTGTTTTGTGATGTAAGGTGTTATTAAAAATTCAAGGAAAAAGATTAAGATTGTTTAAGAACAGACAGAAGATATTATGAAGAACTCAGACTTCGTGGAGTCAATTCTCTAGTATCTTGCTGTAAAAGTTAAACATGACATTTCTTTTTCAGTAAACTTGCAGTTGACCAAAACTTGAACTTTGACCAACTTACACAACTTGCTCATTTCAAACAGACGATCAAGAAATTGAATCATTACTCTGTAACATATTCCAACTTGATTTCCACTTTGAATGAGGATTAAAAATCGTTATTACTGTTTCACAGTTGATTTAAAAATGAGTAGTTCACTTCAACATTTAAACATTGTTTGAACTAACACAATTTGATTATCAAACATTTGTAAAATAGTAATGATAATCGAAAGTAGTCTTCTTTCACTTGATTAATTTAAGAAAGAAAGTCTCAGGATGGGTCAACCTGTATTTCTGGATTCAAATCAATGAAATGACAGTTTCTGTCCCATAAGGTCCTTAAGGTCAGGACTTGACCTCAGGCCTAGTTCACTACAGGTCCGACTCTGGTCCATTTCTGCAGACGTACCCTGCAGTGACAAAGCCCACAATCAATGATCTAAACTCTTAAACCTACTAATTTTAACAACATATGTAGCTACTAAATTTTATTGTCCTGGCTCTGCAGAACAGCAGCGGCTCAGTTCTGCTCCGAACTGACAGATGAAAAAAGTCCCAGTGGGCTCCGGAAACAGCCCCGGACCTGCTGCGGCGCTGCCCCGCTTGGAAGCCCTCATGGGCCGGCTAGGAGCTCTGGTTCACCGCTGTGTCTGGGTCCGGTTCTGTGCAGCCAATCATGCACAGCACAATGCTCTGTTTCTTAAGGAGACATGTCCTGACATGATTTATTTCTTGTGAATCTTAAGTTTGTAACATTTAATGTTCTTAAAGAAACTTGTCCAAGTGACATGATTAAAATCTTACATTTGAAAAGCCGGTTCGGCAGTCATGACTTCACTTTCTGTTTGGCAGAGAGCAGCAGCCGGAGGCACTGCAGTACAGTATTGACCTCTGGACGACCCTTATGAGTGACGATTACTGTGTAGGCTTATTGAAAGAAAACTACAAAATGGTGGCAGCTGTTTGAATTATTATTTTTGTCATTAACTTTTTTCCAACTACGTGAGCACAGTAATATTACTTTAAAGTCGACAATTGTGAGTCATGTACAGTACTGAACTGTACAATTATTACTATTTTGGTGCAATTTTATGTACATGTACTGTACGTTCACAAACCGCGCTAGAGCGAGTCCGCGAAAGTCGAACCGTGAAGTAGTGAGGGACTACTTTATCTGGTTTATAAAGTAAAACATGCATTTATATGATGAGACAAGCCATTTAATATTGTTTTCTGCCACTTTTGGAAGATTCAAAATATTTGTTTTAATATAAAAAAAATGTTCAGTTCTCATTAGCTTTTTTTTTTTTCATAACTCCCTATCCTCTGTAGGGAAGCCTGCGATCGCTCACAGAGATCTAAAGTCTAAAAATGTCCTGGTGAAGAAGAACGGGACGGCGGTCATCGCAGACCTGGGTTTGGCCGTTAAACACAACTCCTGCACGAACACCATCGACATACCATTCAACCACAGAGTGGGAACCAAGAGGTCAGAGCACTCGTTTTACACCCACAAAACAGAGACCTGAAAGCAACACGGAGGAACAGAAATGTGTGTAACATTAGCTGGACGTGTAGAAGAAGTAACACTGAAACAAGTTCTTGTCCTGTTCAAAACACCATCAAACTTTACTTCTATTTAAAGAGCAGATGAAACGGACACAACCAGTGTGAGAAGATGAATGTGAGAACATGAAATGTATGAGAAGTCAACTTTTAAACTTTGGTGATCCCTAGAGACACTTTACATTTCAAAACAATATTTTATTTAAGCAAATACCACAAAGAGTGTTCTGTTTTTGAGAAACGCTCATTTTCTGGTAATTGAGTATAAATCCCCAGAAAAGGAGCTTTTGAATATGTAGTAATAATTAAAAAAAAATCCAAATAAACTCACATCCACCAACTGGTTAGGCAAATAATCTGTGCAGCTCTGGTCCTTTTCGTCATTAGGTTTGAATCACTTTGTCCTCTGCAGGTACATGGCTCCAGAGATCCTGGATGAGTCGATTAATATGAACAACTTTGAGTCGTTCAAGAGGGCAGACATTTATTCTCTGGGCCTGGTGTTCTGGGAACTGTCCAGAAGATGCTCTGTGAGAGGTATTTTAAACTGTTACCCACTTGCTCATGATTAAACAGATCAAATCACAGATAACGGAGAGGATCTCAGTGCATTGTGGGTCATGGTGATGAGACAAACACATTTGCGGTTTCTGCCGTTCTCCCAGGACTTCATGAAGACTTTCAGCTGCCTTATTACGACATGGTGCCTTCAGATCCGTCCATCGAGGACATGAAGAAGGTGGTGTGTGATCAGAAACTTAGACCCAACGTTCCCAACCAGTGGCAGAGCTGCGAGGTGAGGCTGGGTTACTGATCATCATTCTGCTAGTTAACACCCCCCCCCCCCCCCCCCGCTGTGCTCCAACTGACTGCTGACCCTCAACACCTCATCCCCTACTCCAAAAAATAACAATGAAAGATCTCCCATTTAGACAGAATAGCTAAACCAGTTTATATGAATTATTTTTGACATGAGTCCTTAACAGATAACTGGTGTAGAAGGATTCATGCAAATCATGCAGATCCAAAACTAAAATGACTGTATGCACACCTGTTCATGTAAATTTGTAGGTTTACTGATTTAAGTTTTATTGTCATGGTCACAGGTTTTGGACCCTGTATGCAGACAAATATGAGGATCTTGAAAAAGTCAACTTATTTATTAAACGAACAAAAGAAAACGGCAGACGCGGCAGAAACTCGAGGGATTCAAGGTGAACGATACAGGGAGCTCGAAGGAAACTGAAGCTTGTGGCGTTCAAGTCAATAATGCAGAATTAGTGAGTGGTGAGACAGAACCAGAATATATAGGACTAACGATGGGTGGGATTGCAGCTGAGTAAATTGCAGATTAAGAACAGGTGAGAGTGGCGGGCTAACTGGAAAAACAGAGTATACAGCTAACTGAGGGCATGAACACAGAGATGAACACAAGAAGGTAAAACTCAAGTCAAATAAAACATAATGACGAAAAAATGAAACTGAACCTGATCTTAAACACAAAGGCAATCAAAAAGAACGTAACATACACAGATCATGACATTTATTGATGCATGGTTCTTTGTGTTTTTTTTAACTCTTTTACATTTGTCTATAATCATGACCCTTTAAAAACCCTTTAATTGACTGTTTGCCTGTAAGAAAGCCTTTTTCTTCCCAGGTTACTAGGCATGAAACTAACAAAAACAAAGAGAAATAAATTGTTAGAGAATAAACGGTACAGAAACGTGAGCGAGTTCTTCACGGTTTCAGTTCTGGAAACATTTTGAACAAAAGTTGATGAAAAAACTCTCAAGGCAGAAGTGAAAACAAAATGGTTTTACTGCAAATACATTGAAGTTACAGCAAACCATCTGTACACCTGAGCTACATTATAACTACCGGTAAATAAATAGCCAAGTAAAAAAAGATTATACTTGGTTTATTACAATTCATTTTGAGAATAGAATGTTGCATATGGACAAAAACAGATTAAAATGGTTTTTGGGGGGGAAAAAAGAGAAGATTTTGATTTACATTGAGTAGTAGTGTGTTTGGCCTGGCAGAGAAATATATTTTAATTCATCTGTCCGTCCATTCATTATCTTTAACCCGCTTCTTCCTTTTTCGGGTCACGGGGGTCACTGGTGCCTATATCAGCAATCACTGTGTGAGAGGTGAGAGACACCCTGGACAGGTCTCCAGTCCATCACAGGGACATAGAAACAAATGAGACAAACAACCATTCACTCTCTCACTCACACCTAGGGACAATTTAGTGTTACCAATCAGCCTAACATAGATAATCTCCATTAGCCAGAAAAACATTTTTATAAACTTTAGCAACAGATAAATAGCAAATATAAGGCCTGTAATGCTGACTTAAAGCACCTTCCTTAATTCTGTCATACTTGGGTATTTAGAGAAGGTGAATATTTGTACCCTTTTTCTTTATTGTTTTATTGTTTTATTGGGCGGCTGTGGCTGAGTGGTTAGAGCAGTCGACCTCCAATGCGAGAGTTGGGGGTTTGAATCCACCAGCAATCACATGCTGAAGTGTCCCTGGGCAAGACACTGAACCCCTCACTGCCTCTGATGTGTGTCCCATCAGTGTATGAATGTGATCTGTGATTTGTTCAATTATTTTTTTAGAGATCTAGTAGAGTGCTGTATGAATGGGTAAATGAGGACACAGATTGTGTTGTAAAGTGCTATGAGTATCTTGAAATAAGATAGAAAGGTGCTATATAAGTACAGTCCATTTACCATTTACCATTTGTTTTGATTAGAGATATTTTCTTTTTTAAATAACGTTCTAATGTAACAGAATTAAATGATTGGTAACATAATACCCAAAAAGATTGGGATATGTTCCTAAAATGCATGGTTGAATGCACTCTTGAATTTTCAAATATATATATATATATTTTTGTATTTGTTCAACAGACAAATATGACAATTACTATTTTTTTTTACTGAGCATCTTTATTAAATTAAAAGAAATATGCAAACAAAATAGTTTGGTGTTAGGGACTGTTTTAAACTTTTATATTGGAAGAAATAGATCTAACACCTTCATAAAAAAGCTTGCACACAGCAACTTATTTGGTAATGTCTCTCAGTGCAAAAGACCATACGTCTTTCAACACATTCCAACCATTCATCGTCTTCCACTCGTTCAGGAGTTAGATCATGGAGACAGTAGCTTGAGCAGGGAGGCCCTGACATTTCTTTCCACAGCCACCTCTTTGTTGTTCCAGGAGGACTACAAGGCTTTCCCAGACCAAGCGAGAGACTTATGCCACTTTGCCATTGGCAAGTGCAGCTCCACTTGGCTCTCCTCTTCTCAGTTCTTCTCAGGTGTAGGGGATTTGCCCTTACAGTGCAGGCTGACCAGTTTCCCCACTCTGTGGGCAGGATCGTCAATGCAAAGTGGGAGGGATCGAAACTGGTCTTTTTGTGTTCTAGCCAGTCCACTCATTGTGGTCTTAATCACCCTATAATCTGGATTGAATTTTGTTAGCTTATTCTGGCACTGTTTATAAGTCTGGGTGTAGCTATCATCTCTGATATCTTTCTGTAACAGTGCAAATTTCTTGTTGCGCTGTCCGTCAACAGGACGAGGAAGTGGAGGTTCAGATGTAGTTTTACAGTTTTCTGGGCAGGTCATCCAGTAACATATCTCCTCTGGCCAATCAATGGCTGCTATCTGCTTACATCAAAATCGGCCCCTCAGACCAGCCCGCTTGGAACCACGAGCAAGGTGGTCCCATAAACCGAGCTGAGTGGGGTGGACACCGACAGTGGAGAGGCCCTTAACTGGTGCGGTGTCATGCAGAACTGCAGAATGTTGAGACAGTGGAAAGCGCCAGTAGTCTCTCCAGCATGTCCTGGGTCTTCCCCGGGGTGTCCTCCCAGTTGGACATGTCTGGAAAACCTCTCTAGGGAGGTGTCCAGGGAGCATCCTTACCAGATGCTCAAACCACCTCAACTGGCTCCTCTCGATGTGGAGGAGCAGTGGCTCTGCTGAGTCTTTATCAAATAAATGAACTTCTCACATTTTCTCTAAAGGAGAGTCCAGCGACCCAGTGGAGAAAATTAATTTAAACCACTTGTATCTGCAATCTTGTTCTTGCAGTCACTAACAAAAGTTTTTGAGGATAGGAACGTAGACCGATCGGTAAACAAAGAGCTTTGTCTGACAGCTCAGCTCCCTCTTCATCAAAACGGACCGGCACAGAGTCTACAATACTGTAGAAGCTGCACTGATGCATTTGTCAATCTCACACTCAACACTCACTCCTGAACAAAACCTTGAGATACTTGAACTCCTCTACATGAGGCAGAGCCTCACTCTAGACCTGAAAAAAGCAATCCACTCTTTTCTGTCTGAGGACAATGGTCTCAGATTTGGAGGTGCTGATCCTCATCCCATCCACTTCACACTCCGCTGCAAACTGCTGGAGAACTGACAATCATTGCACGATGACACCAACAGGACTACATCGTCCGCAAATAGAATCCTGAGGCCACTCCCTCCCAACATATTCAGTGTGTAAAATAGATGAAGTCTGGGAAAGTCTTGGTGTGTAGGAGGCCAAAACTGTCCTCGTAGGCACAGAATTACCTTGAAAAACCATTGCTTCTCAGAACAGTCCACACAGAAATGTACCGGTAATTTGTATTTCACAAGGAGGAAGCCATACATCAACTCTGGCATCAAGTGTTCTGGGTACAAACTAACCTCAGATGGACGGAAATACATGAAGTCTGCTTTTTGCTGAGATAAATTCTTATTTCAGCTCGTTTTAAGGAAAAAAGTAAGATAAACTTGACTTTTGAAAAGCTGAAATATTGTGTTCAGCAAAAATGGACACTGACTCAGTCTATAAAAGTGCAATACAATATCTAAATAATTTAAAACAGTAAAACAAAAGGAAATGTAAAAATATAGAAAACATTAATTCTAGATTAGTTTATATCAGTTAAATGAAAACTGAAAATTTGGTTAAAAGTTAAGATTAAACTATTAATTAAATTATAATAATTACTGTATAATTGCATTCACACACGCTTTAACCACTTCTTATTTCTGTGAATGTAAGCAACCCTGTCTGTGCTTTAGACCATCATAATAACAATATTTGTCGTTGCATCAGGCTCTGCGTGTGATGGGAAAACTGATGAGGGAGTGCTGGTACTCCAACTCCGCGGCACGACTCACTGCCCTGCGAGTCAAGAAGACCGTGTCTCAGCTCTCTGTCACCAAGGACGTCAAAGACTAGTTTTATCAGTCGTTCCAGAGATCTGCACTGGTGCGGTGTGAGGAACTTGAAGGCCTGAAGCTGGACCCAAGCACATCCTCACAGAGTCTGCTTGGGTTGTTTTTGGTGCCAAAGCACTGAGGGAAATATGTGTGTGAAGATATTTACACAAAAACATTCAGGAGACTGACTTTTAAAAAAAAAAATTCCAACAGCAAAAGTTTTTGTAGGAAGAGCCATGTGACATATGTTAAATGTCATTTTGCTACCTCAGTATTTGAAGTGCCCAAAGCTTGAAGTTGCACATTGTTGTTTTTTGTGCCGTATATTGTTGTGAATGCAGTGCTGCTGGGTAGTGAGACTGTTCAATGACAGCTTAAAAAAAATTAACTGGTTTTGACACATTCCCAAATAATCTCAAATACTTTGTTTACTTTTAGTTTGATCAGTTCAAACGATTTGCCGAAAGGTCTATGAGAGGGAATACAGACAAATATACACCTGGAGGCGTTAGCCTCGGAAGTGGGGGGTGTTGCTGCAGCGTCCCTTGTGGTGGCTGATGGACACTGCAGCGTAACTCAACAGAAAGCTCGAGCAGTAGTAAATAACGTACTTCCATTTCATAAATGGAGATGAAAACCACCCCTGTCCTAGATGACAGCATCTACACTAGCATAGATGTTATGTTGTGTAAAATGTGAATACAAACAGAATGCAATGTAAAGAAAATCTTTTAAAAAATACATTTTATTCACAATGGACTGTAGTAAACATATCAAAATCCATAACGAATTTAAATTTTTTATATGTCTGACTACAGACCAGGGTTTTTTTTTTTTTACTTTGCTTATTTGAAATGAGTTTTGATCCAGAGTTTCTGGATGGTGTTCACATATGGCTTCTTTTTTGCATGATAGAGCTTTAATCAGTTTGTGGATGGCAGAGCGAACTGTGTTTACAGACAATAATTTGTGGAAGTGTTCCTCAACCCATGTTCTGTTCGTAACAGAACCAGAGCTTTTTTTTATTTTTTAAATTCAGTGCCACCTGAGGGCCTAAAGATTACAGGCATCCAATATTTACTTCGAGCCTTGTCCTTTGCACAGATTTCTCCAGATTCTTATTTTCTTAATGACATTATGGACTGTAGGAGATGAGATATTAAAAGTTGCCCCAATTTTCCATTGATGAACAGTATTCTGAAATTGTTTCACTATTTTTAGACAGTTTTTCACAGACTGGTGAGCCTCTGCCCGTGTTTACTTCAGAGAGATTCAGCCTCTAAAAAGCTCTTCTCGTACTCTGTCCTCTCACTGACCTGTTGCTGATTAACCTAAATAGGTGCAAAATGCTCCTAAGCTGTTTTTTTTTATTTATAGAACTAACTTTTAGTCTTGTTTCCTCTGTTTAGTTCTTTTTAGAGACGTATTGTTGCCTTTAAATTCAAAATTAACATTTTTTCCCCCAAAATTTAATACAATTTTCTAGTTTAAACCTTTAGTATGTTTACCGTGAGCCATTGTCACTGCAAACCACTGCATTCTGTTATTTATAATTTGCGCAACACCCCAGTGTTTTTGTCATTGGGAATGCAAAAATATCACAACAAAAGACAACACTTTCCTCTTTGTTGCTGTTTGTGTGCAAGCTTTCATTAGCACTGTAGCATAGCTGCTACGTAATGAATACATAATAAATGCGTAATAAATATATAAACTACCACTGAAATACAAAGTTCCTCTGGCAAGAAGTACCAGTATGCTGATAGTGTTTGCTACATGGATAAGACTGTAAAGAGCTACATCTAACTCCGTCTTTACTAATGGCAGCAAATGAATGGAAGTTTATAATTTAAATGGTGGAATGTTACTTTGACAGACTATCCTGACAAAGTGGTCTTCCTCTGTACCTGGTTAGAAGAAAAAAACTGAGTGTAAGGCCATTTATGTCAAGTATACAGTAAAATAAACCAGAGTTTTTATTATTGGCTTTTTAGGTTAAATCCATTTCTCAAATACTGCATAAATAATATATAGTTGCAGGACAGATATTCATGTTAAAAAGCTAAATTAATGTCATCCAGTCCCACCAACGATTCCAAGATGAGCTAATTATGACACATAGTAAACTAATGGAAGTTCAGCCTAAAATAAGATTTTACGCTATACACAATAAAAAAAATATATATTTTTGTATTTATTTTATTTTTTCTGACATGTCTCAAGCTTGATCTTATATTTTTTTTAATCATTTGACGCAAAGCCGTGTCTATTTGCATTGCTTTATGGGAAAGTTGATTGTTTAATTATGATGCTTTAATAAAGTGAATGTAGAATCTGTGGCCATATATTTTGAACATTGAAAAACTGGTTTGTTTTATAATAGCCTATATATGAACAAAAACTCATTCATAATTAGAAAATCTCAACACCAAATTTACAGTGAACTTTATGTTCATTTTGACTCAAAAGGCTTTAAATGTTTTAAAGGGAAGAGCAGCAGGTTTTGTATTGTTCCAAACAACAAAATAAGATGTATTTATAAAGATGTAAATAAAAATATGACAATAGAAGTTGCTGCAAAGCAAATGCTGTGATACTAATAAACGCATTAAGGTTCCACATAACGATTATTAATGCCATGCTTTGAGTGGCTTGTAAGGCCTTGATGTATCAGAAGGTATCAAATGTTTATCTGTACACCATTTGTGCTTGTTTAAACTAAATATGTGTAAAAGTGCCTGCATGTGTATCCGTCTGAGTTTCATATCATTTGAGATTTATCATTGGAAAGGTGATCCATGTTCAGAAACATCTCTTTAGGCTTTTCATTCATCTAAAGCGTTGCATCCTGTTTGTGATTTTAGTTGCAGCTCTTATACGATGCTTAGTGTCACTGCAGACACGTTACTGTAGGAAATGATTGATTTCTGTTATAAGAAAGTTATGAATGAGCAGCGCTGTCACTTCTATTAAACCAGCTACTCACACTTTAAGAAGTAAGACACTGGATCTGCTTATAAATGTGGCAACAGTTTGCATGCAACTTTTTAAAGTGTTTCCTACTCTATAATTATTCAGTAAACATTATGGTTTGACTGGCTCAGTCTTTAGCATAATCAACATGGTTTGGTTGGATTTTGAAAATCTCAACTGCACTGAATTAACTGACTTTAAACCTTAATGTCTATGTTTGGAAATTATTTGTTCTGTTGAAATTCTACTCATAACAGTTCATGCAAATTGTTATCCTATTTCTTTATTTTTTGGGAATCATTAACTTCAGTTTGCACTCAAATTGTTATTTGCAATCACAATATTCCTGCTGTTAATAAAAAAAAAGTCCTTAAACCTGCTGGAAGTTCAGTTGTTTATCCCAAGTCGTATCTATGCTAAGACACTTTTGTCTATTTTGACACTTGAATGGGTCGACGAAGCTAATAAAATGTAAATGCTCCAAAAATAAATAATCAAAGTGCAATAGCGTCTTTATAGTAGTGTCCCCTTAAGTTTTATTATTGTGATCCTGTTCTGTGTTGCTGCTCAGATGTGGATTTTTCTACATCTGCATTTGATCTGTTTTCTTGTTGGGTCAAAAAAAAAAAAAACAGTTTTTCACGTTGCTGTTTCATCTTCTTTGTGGAAAAATCTCAACTTGAAAAGGTCATTTTGAAAGCACCGATAGTGTCGACTTGTGCAAACTGCAGCGTGAATTTCCCGGAGCATCATATCTACAACGAGCTGCTTTCGTGTTCTCCACAAGATTTCGTACTTAAGAGCTTCTGTGACTCATCTGTGCTTTCTGATCTGCTGCTCTACTTGTTAGTGTCCGTTAGGCAGAGGAAATAAAGCTGTAACCCTAAAGCTATCAGCACTACAAAGATGAGTCAATGCTTTAACGTTGTGCTGTTTTAACAGATTCTATGCGATGCCTTTCACTGTAGGTAAAGGACATGGTGTCACTTGCCTGAGCTTGCTAAGAATAGACATAATTAACTAAGCGGTTACTTTCTTAAGTTCTGCTTCTTAAAAGTGATGCACTGAAGCGTTTGTGTGATGTTAGAAGAGGAGCATTTAGGTTAAAACTCTTTAACGTGTATGATTTTGTAGAAAACACTGGAAAAATTAGCTCAGAAAACTAAACTAAATACACATATTTGCTTCCATGGAAACAACCTTTGAGAATCTTTTAACAGAGATGATGGGGAAGAGGCAGCGCAGCCGACTCTGGACCTGAAAGTCCCGGGTTCAATCCCCAGCTATTCCCACAGTCTCGGAGCAAGATGCCCAGTCCCTAATTGCTCCCCAGGCGCCTACATAGCTGCCCACTGCTCCACCTGGGTGCATCCCAGGTGCGATGGGTTAAATGCGGAGAACTAATTTCGCCATTGTATAAGAACATACAATGATGACGACATATAGCACTTTATCTTATGAGCAACAGTTCTCTTGGCTTTTTGTGTTTTTTTATTAACCATTTTTCAATTGTTTTAGTTTGGTCATGTACCTGTGTACCAGACTTTTTTTTTTTTTAAGACATGGGAGAACTTTTTGTGCCATTTAACCACATGAAATGCAAAGAGCAGAATAATAAACCAGTTTGGCCAAAGTCTGATAAGTCTGGTGCTAAAACATCTGGTCAGTGGAAGAACCGTGGATAATCTCTACAGCATACGTGGAAGTGTTCTGATTCGTGGTGGTAAGACCACATAACAATAAAGCTGAAATGTATTTTTGTTTTTAATGTAGGAACAATATGAAATGCTCAAAATAACTAATAAAATGTTATTGATCAGCTCAGAATTGTTGGGGATCTGAAACGTGTGAGGAAACTGGCAGATATGTATGCAAATTATTCTGAAGATGATATTTTTACAAAACAAGGTTTATATTAGCTCCTCTTTAAAGGGTATACATATGTCAAAAAGGCAAACATATGCTTGTGGATGTATTTTTTTAAGAAGCACCCCCCCCCCCCCGTTGTTTCAGTAAACCCACTGTTTTAAAGAAGAGATAATTATTTTTGTCCAGTTTTGATAAATAACTAAGGCTGAATCTATATTTATTATTGCTTATTGCCAAAGGTCAAAGGCTGACAATAATGTTTTTGAATGTCTTTGTGCATGTTTTATGTCTGTTACCAAATTATCTTACGAACCACTGGACAAAGTTTAATAAAACCTAAAAGAAATAAGCATCAGATGCGCCTCAACAATTAGTTATTGTTTGGAGCCTACCCAATCTAAAATGGCCACCACAGCTAACTGATCTTAGAAAACTTAAAAGTGGCTGAAATTCAATCCATTTTTACAGATATTGTGCTAAAATCTGGTGTAGTTGTGCAACATACTCCCAAGTTCCACTCATGGCACAACACCTATTTCAAGTTTACCAATTACTATTGGCATCAACCCTTTTAGTGTTAGCAAAATATCTCATGAACCACTGGGTAGATTTTGATGAAACTCTCAGAGAGTTATCATTTGATGTGAATGCCCCCTTTTGGTCAGGAGAGAGTCTTTGGTCCTCAGTTGGAGGAGTTTAATTATCTGGGCATCTTGTTCCTAATGGTAGAAATAAAGTGAGAGATGGATTGGGGCCTCGTCCTCAGTAATAAGGATGTTGCTTCAGTCAGTCGTGGTGAAGAACGAGTTGAGTTGAAAGGCTAAACTCTTGATTTATAGTATATCTATGTACAACCCTTACCTATGGTCATGAGGTTCGGATCATGAGCTATGGAACAAGATTCTTGGTACAAGCAGCCAAAATGAGCTTCCTTCATGCAGTGGTCAGGATCAGCTTTAGAGACTGAGTGAGGAGCTCCATCATTTAAGGGAGCTCAGAGTAGAGCCACTGCTCCTTCAGATTGAAATGAGTCGGTTGAGGTGGTTTGGGCTTCTACCGGTAATTGGGATGCCACCTGTATCCCTCTATTTTGAGGCTTCCTGGACATGTCCCACAGGTAAGAGGCCCCGGGGGAGGATCCAGAACTTGATGGAGGGGTTTGTGTATCTTCTCTGGCCTAAGAATGCTTTGGAGTCCCCCAGGAGAAGCTGGAGTGTGTCACTGGAGAGAGGGACGTCTGGGTTTCTCTCCTGGACATGTTGCCTTCTCCACCCAACTACGGATGGACATGGAGATGTACATCTTCAACTGATTACCATGTGGAGTCCATCCAATTCAAGATGGCTGCCACAGCCAGTTGACTTTTGTCAGTGAATGTAACAATGGCAATAATAACTCAGTTGATCTCACAGCTATTACCTCACCTCTCACACAGTAACTGCTGGATATGGACACCAGTGACCCCCGTGAACTGGAAAGGAAGAAGCGAGTAAAGATAATGAATGGATGGATGGATGGATGAGATAATAGATGAGAGCATCCCCAACACATGCTCTGAGTGTGACATCTCACAGTACTGTACTGCAAGAGAGGGAGAAGGTTACAACTTTATAATTTCTCAGCATACAATCGTCTTTGCCTAAAACTCTGGCATTCAAGGAAATATGCATTCCTTCAAGAAATGCCAGACCTTTAATTAAGTTTCTAACTGTTTTGTTTTAAATAAAGACAAAATGTGCAGAAATTTAAGACCCAATCACATACATGAGAAAAACATTTCTCTGCACTCAGTGTAACAGCATGTTTGGGGGGTTTGCCGTGTCCTCTGTGTTCCAGACAGTCTCGTGGTTAACTGGTGCTGCTGGGGATCAGTGGGACAGAGTAGATCCTGATGCAGCCAGTTAAGAAATATTTCATCAGCTTTACTGTACTGTACTGTGATGAAATAGTTTTTTTTTTATGTTACTCTGGAGTGAGAACTATTTAAATTTTTTTTGTCAGTCGTAAAATAAAACCCTCATGATTTAGTCCCTTTACGCCTTCCACTATTGTCTCCCGGACTATAAGCCAGCCCCCAAACTGTGGTTTTTCTTTTGATCCAACCATGTCTGATGCCTTTAGCCCACTGACCCATGCTGTGTGTATCCGAAGTGAGAATCTGGCTCTGAGCTAAATCAGCCTTTTGTCTGTCCTCATAAGACATGTCTCCCTGCTTGGCAGCGCACAGGACTGAGGCTTAGGCCATTGAGAAACTGAGAGTGAAAAAGGGTGCAAGCAGGTGCCGGTGCAGGAGTGAGGTGGCAGTTTGTCATGCTTGCAGATTCCTGACAGACCGTAAATCGAATTGCTAAGACTGCAAAAAAGCAAAGGGACTCTTTGAAGGGAGAACTAAACACAATAGCTTCAGCAGCCTCCCTCCCTTTTTCTTTTCAAAACAACAGAGCAGCACTTCTCAAGAAAGAGAAGAAAAAGTTTAAAGGAGGTGAACAGGAAAGTAGGTACTTAAGGCTCTGCAGATGCAGGTCCACCACAACCATCACATGATGTGGATTTCCGCTTTTACGCGTTCTGCTTTTAGCTGTGCAGCAGGGCAGAGCCGCACCATCACAGAGGAGCTGCTGCTGCGGGTCATGATGCTGCTTTGAGAACATCTCCACCATGCAGGCCACCATGAACTGCAATGGACTCCAGAGCAGCCAGGACATTCTGGATAACAGTCTGAGGAGGAAAGCTTCTCTGTGGTACCGGCGCTCGCTGAGGGGGAACAATGATCGACACCGACAGAACACCGCCTCTCTGCCCAGAGCCTGCAAGGTGAGAGAATGACTCAAGTGCAATTTATAAATAAGGTCTAAACATTCACGCCGCTCTAATTCATTATAAGTATATCAAGAAAAGTCAAATTGGTGTCTATATTTTTAATGAAATGAAAAGAGCAGTTTGCTGCACTCAGCAATTTATAACTTTTTAAATGTTGGTACTAACATTGTATTAAAATGAACATTGTTCAAAGCTATTATTGGTTTTAAAGGACATGTGCCTTTTCTCCTGCAGCCCAAACTAACCCACACCCCCTCACTGATTGATTACATGGACCCACAAAGGTAAATAAGTGCAAGTTTCAATTGATCATTTAGTTTAACTCAAATTAATCTTGAATTTATTGTGATACGTTGATGCATTTTTACATTCATCAAATAAAACAGATCTTTTCTTGCATTGCCTTTTTTTTTTTTGGTATAGGATCACAATTGTTTTGGAAAAACAAGACAATGAACTCTTTGGTTTTGAAATCCACGTAAGCCAAATCACATTTTCTTCAACGACTTCATTAATAATCTGCACTTCAAGTGTTGTTTCGTAAATGGCCTCTTGTTTTGCAGACGTACGGGGTGCAGCTGAAAAGCAGCTCGGCAGTGGAGATGTGCACGTACGTGTGCAAGGTGAACAAGGCCAGTGTAGCTGAGAATGCAGGGCTGACCGCAGGTGAACCCCCCCTCACAACCTCAACACATAGACTCACACGAATGCGTTACTTAACAACCGACAGATGAGGCTCGCACATGCACTTACACTTTTTAAACTGTGTAACCTCGTTTGTCATAGGTGATGTTATCGTCTCTGTGAACGGGGTCAGCATACAAGGATTGTCCCATGACAGCGTACTGAATCTAATAAGTGAATCGAGCAACAGTCTAAAGTAAGATCAAGTCCAGTTAACAGCAACGTAACACAATAAATACAAGAAACAGTGTGATAACTGTGTTTTTATGTGTAATCTGTTCCCAGGATGGAGACCGTGTGTGTGAACGTAGTGAAACAGATAGAACTGGAGAAGAGGCTGCACCAGCTTCAGGTGGGTCCTTTCAATGGCTAACATATTGTAACACAATGTGTGACATAAGCAAAAAAACTGACACTATTTTAAAACCCTGCAGCTAAAACACTTCAAGACTTAAAATAAACTCCACCTCGTTGCCAGTTTGAGCTGTCACACAAAGTCTTTGTGGTCGAACGCTCTCAACATGTGAAAATGAATGTGTGTGATGGTTTCTGCCCATGCAGCAATCGTTTCGTGAGAAATGGATGGAGCTTCAAGAGCTGACATTACAGGAAAAGCGTTTAATGCGAGGTGAGAGGCTCAGCTGTCAGACCACAGCACTTCCTTTCTCACAGACACACTCGTTTCTTTTAGGCAGGGCTGTTTATCGTGTAATGTACTGTAGCGCGTAAACTCTAGATTGTTTTGAAGGTGCTCCCCTGAGAAATGAGCTGACGAACTTCCTGATGCAAATTTCCTGGCAGCTGAAACTTTTCCTCACAGGGTCTTTGTTGTGTTCTCAGGTAATTTGAATGACAGCAGTCTAGACCTCTTGACAGAGTCTTTAGCTGCTCTGAGTTCCCCCTTCGGCCGTCGTGGTCGTCGTTTCTCCAGCGACAGCAGCTATAAGAGTGGGATGACCGACGACAGCGACCAGGCCAGTGTGTTTGGGGATCTGGGCTCGCCCAGTCCCTTCGGCACCACCAGCACCACAGATGAAGGCTGCTTCTTCTCCAGAGACTTTCCCTCCCAGGACACATCCAAGACGGGTTCATCCAACTTCAGCCTGCACCATCAAGCCCTCAGCCGCTCCAGCAGCTCCAGTTTGGCCGGCAGCAGCAGCTCTCCGTCTCCATCCTGGGAAGAAACGCGGATCTCGTCCTTGTTTGGGACCCTGCCCAGGAAAGGCAGGAGAACCAATGTACGCAAACAAATCTTTAAGTTAATTCCTGCACTCCAACGATCAGTGGAAGAGGAAGAGACTGGAAGTCCCACTGAGTGACACGTTGATTTGCTCTTTGTCATTTTGATACAAAGGGCAAAAAATAAAAAGACACTTTAATGAAGAGCCTGGTATTCCTTGAAGGAACGCATATTCCCTGCTGCCCTGCCAACAACTTAAACACAGCAACTACCACACCAAATCTTAGCTCAGTATCTATAAAACTGAGCGCTTTAACAGAATAAAAAAAACAAACATTTTTTTTGCCTTTTTTTGTTTGTAAACAAACAGAGGCAATTATTGATTGCCCAGCTTTAATGGCAGCCGGCAAAAATAAAAGGTTCCCTCAGACTGGAGCCTGACCTAACCCTTTTTGTGAAAATGGACTACTTTTTGTAAATGCTTACTTTAATGCTTTCTGGGCCAGAATTACAGCGGAAAAGCATTACAAAATGAATGTGCACAGAATGAATGTACACGTGACAGACTGTAATGTATGACAGATAGATGTGTGCAACCTACTAACTTGAATTCATCATGTTTGTATCTGAGTCACAAATCACAATGTTAGTAGCATTAACCATGTAGCACATGAAATTTGAATATTGTGGCCTGAACTGTACAGGAATCACTGACTGACATTAAGATTTAAGCAACATTTAAAAGGTTTCAGCTGCTCAAAACCAAATGTCTAAACCATATACCGTATATATATATATATATATATATATATATATATATATATATATATATATACACACCTGCCTGCTTGATTCAAAACAGGATGTGGGCATAACAGTACTACTCAAGTTCT